TCTCCCAACCAATGTTCATTCACAGTGCGATGGTGCGTTTCCAGAGCGGCTGGACATCACCAGGTTACAGAAATCCGTCGCAGCTGATTTAAGGAATTGCTTCGCAGTATGAGGCTTCTGGAATCGGCTCTGTGACCCGTCCTTCCTCGGGAGAAGGCAGCATTGCCGGTTGCACAAAGATAGAGATCCTGGTGGTCTGGAGGAAGCAACTTACTGCCTACACAGCCTACAGGTGAGAGTAGTACACTTCATCTCGAGACCGCCTCGAGTTACGACGTGCCACTGGGTCGTCCAAGCTTAAAAAGAAGTAACCGGAGAGCAGACAATCTGGCTAGTAGGTGATGCCTCGATCGTTCGAGCTCCAGATGGCTATAATGGCTAATTAGTTACCGACCCTTGAATCACCCGTTTCGATAATGCACCTTACCCTACGTCTAGAAAAGCCCTCTTCACGTATGGCTTCGACGAACCACTATAAAAGGGTCGGCTGCGTATACCAAGTTGACCACCACGCCACCGATCCAGCCATGAGGAACCCCACAGGCCATTTGATCCTCTACCTAGCTGGTCGATTTGTAACCAGTCCAGCCGAATAAACATACTCCCTTGCAGTACAAGTGCAGACAGTTAACAGCGAGGTCTGCGAAACCCACTAAACTTCACATGAAATCGGGACACTAAGCCCTCGAGCAATCTCCTCAGAAGACACTACCTTCGAAGAAACCATATGTTAAAGTTCCTCATCGCAAGCTTCCAGGAGGAGACTAATCCCCAATAACTTTGGGGGGCATATCCATTGGTTCCCTGAATAACTAGAGTGCTCCTGAATAGTAAATCTGTTGAAAACACTGCACCACCGACTCAGGTTTGCCAGTTAGGTGACTGTGATTCGTTACCGAGTGCTGACTTGCGCATCGCTCCGCTCAGGATGTAGTGAATTCTCGCGGTGAAGACATCAGCGAAGGTGCATGATGTTAAGGCCAACGTCAAGTTTTTCAACCATGAATTACGATGGACTTAAATTACTTCAATTTAGTTTCTGACGCCACAAAAGAGTGGATGGAAACTGCCAGCAATGCTCTCTTAGGCTATCCTACAATCGCAGCTTCTCTAGCTGTCCCAATACGTAAACCGAGAGAATCAAACCCAACCCACGCGTGGATGTTTCGAAGGAACGGAAAACCCCGGAGCATGCTTACCGAAGGATGCGAAATGCAAGCAGGAACTAAAGGCCACTTCCGACTTCCAATCTTGTGTATTGTGCAGACTGATATTCTTCGAATAGCGGAGAATCATTTGCATAAGTAGAACTTTTCCCCACGCGTAATTCTCTTCCATACGTTCGGACATTTATAGTGTGAATTATATAGTAAAATCGAACAAAAGGATACGGAGCAGACCTGGCGAGCCAACTGGTTTTCGGCAATCACAAGTAAATGTGACACCATTAAAGTGAAGGACAACAAGCATGGTGGAAAACCTCGATGGCATTCTCCCTCCTCAAATGCACCTAAAAATAGGCACCGTAATATCAGCAACGTCACCTATATCATGATGACCGTAAGCCATGCACATCCTTGGTAAGAAGACAAATGACTTCATGGTACCAGTTTTCCGGGAAGCAACTTCGTGCAGAAAGGCATCTCAGTGCTTCCTAGGCTGAGGCAGAGTCTGAACTCAGCCCATAGCTCCAGCTGAGGTGGCCAAGCGAGATGCTGAGAATACTCAGCTCAGTTATTTAGCCGCCACCCTTTGGTTATACACCGGATTCCAAAAATCTCCGAATAGTTCACTAGATGCCGTTTCAAGTCCCAAGGCTTCCTATTCTACCCGGGTTCAGAATGCGCACAGATTTTATGAGATGAGGTTTAGCGAACATAGCTGGATTTCCCCTAGGGTCCGATAGGACGCAACTTCTTTCACCATGAACTGATGATGATGTAGGGACGACAGCTGTAAACTTGGATCCTTATTGAGTGGCCGCCCCGCAAGTCAGTGTTAACATTCGCACATTATATTTAGTGACTCGTCTCATCCCAATGACAATTGACATCTTTCGAGAACGCAGGTTTTGGAGCTTCACAAATGCCAATTTCCTTATCCCATCCAACTAACGAGTAAGATGGTCCGCTTTTTTTTCGGTGAAACCTATCGAAGTCACCCAAGACCTTTAATAGAGACCGCATGTCAGCAGAGCTCCACTGCTGGTAGTCAATGGTTACGCGACGAACCGGGTTGTCCAGCACCATGAAGGAAAGTAGCGCAACGGCATCCACTGTGTCCAACCCAATAAGCCATGGGTTTCATGGTCGTCACGAAACTCGAAAGAAGCACAACAGCTGAACTACTGTCAGGTAGCTCAAGCCTAGACAGGAACATCCGGAAAGGCAGAATCCGGTCCAAACTGATCTTCCTGTTTTAAGAACTGAACCACCTCGAACAAGGATCGGCACAAAGCTGACCACCATTTGGCCTTAGTAATAAAAATAGCCAGAGAATGAGGCAAACCATGTGAGAAGTTGAGACGTCCGCCTATTGCACTAGCAGCCCTGACGAACTCGTGGAAAACAAGTGTGCCTAGTTTCACATGAAGGAAAGTACTGTAAACAGAGCGCCACAGTTCGCTGACGCATATGCAGGAAGTGTGATATTATTTCGGCTGATGCGAGTCCATATACAAGCTGAGATACGAAACGCAGAGACGACCACCTGCGGGGACCCTTGTGACCAGTCCTTCATCGGGGAGCTGAGTTACACCAATGTCACCCAAATCTGCTAGGTGCACAGAGAAGCTGCATTAAAATAGGCAGTGGCGTCTGAACGAATATCGTACTTGAATATGACTTACTAAGAAAAGATTAACACTAAATGGAACTGTGCAGAGTTTTGCCTTGTCCACGAGTTCATCGTGTAATGGCCAATAGCATCAAAATAACGGCGTTTGCACAGTCCGTAGATGTATAGAGCAAGAAATACCGGCAGCGCAAAAACTAAGAAAACGGAACTAGCAGCCCCCTCAATCAATGTCTTCGGCTCACACTTGAAGCCCACCACGGCGCAACATGCAGAAGGTAAGCCGTCAAATATGTTCCAGCTCTTATCCTGGACGCAGGCAGGAGCCAATACTACGACCTGTGCGAATCGCAACACTCGCCGTCCACCTAACCATGGTCTTCTAGTGACCATTGTTCAACCTTAAAAAGTCCGCCTACGAATCTGCATCTCTCCGACCAGACTTGACACTATAGTCACCCTAATTCACCTCCAGCAATCTGGTTTGCCAGCCTATCTTAGCTCACCCACAAACGGGGTCAGTCTCCATTTTGAACTGGTAGTTGTGTCGTGGGAGTTCAGATTGCCCATCGGTCCCAAACACACTGTTCGATGGGACGCTCTGTAGTGCCCAAGGTCTACCCTCAACTTCCTTCTACCTACTTGACTTAGTTTATACACTAAGGCGCCTCTAACCGATGATTCGCCAAAAACCACCCAGGTCCCAACACGGCGCCGTCGCCCCGCCTTACCGCCGAGAGCGGTAAGACAAGCGACTTTCTTTACCCACTATATAGCTATCCGTTAATCTCTAGGGATCATTGCCCAGGTTTCCGGATACCAACCCGGAGATCAGCTCCGAAACAAAATTTTCGAGACTTAAAAGGTGCTACCAAGTTCTGACGTCTTCGGCTAGCTTATACCACATGGACTTTTTTGCTACAAATGCGAATTGCTATTTCCAATGTTGCTGAGTACGAGATCTCCTTCAGCCACAATCCACTTGTGTAGTGAAGTTTCCCGGAGGACACAACCGACCGGCTAAGTTGCGATACGCAGGTGGACATGGCGACCAGTGAAAGCGCTTGCTTGGCTTGTTTGAGTCTTTAGTGAGCTTGTTACGGAACATTCCCTCTCAACGATCCCGCACCAGGCTTGGCTCTATGGATCCTTCCACCGTGAAAAAAATTACGTCACATCTTACCACTCAGAAGTGGGCAATGAACCCCCTTAGTTATACGGTTGACATGCTTGGAAAGCCACAACTCGGTGCTTTGTTGAACACTTGGACTAGTTGATTTACTGAAGCATCATACGGAATTTTTTCCTTATCAACCGTATACCATGTCCCTCCTCTCCCCCCGTCTCGTGACAGTCTCCAGTGCAACGGTTTGCGAAAGTATCTGGATAATCTACGGAGTAAGCCAGAGGCAACTTATATCTCACTCAACTGCAATTCTTCAATACTTATCCCAGTCGGACCACTGATCAGCATGTAGATGCACCCAGACCGGCCAGCACCTTAACACATCGGATTAAGGATATTCCAGCCTTCACCGGGCCTACCGATTTGGAGAACGCGAGCCGTTTTCCACACAGTACATACAACTAGGTGGAACGAGTACACACAATTCGATATCCATTCTGGGACAACGCGGCACACTTACCATTAATGGAAGGCGGACAATAGTTACTTCAGGTCAAGCAAGCAACCACCTGGCTTGTAACAGGTCAAGCGGCTGAACACAGTACACAAAAGGTGAAGATACCCCCCTCTCAAGCGGACTTGAGAGGGTTTGCCGAACAGCACACGGGGTGACAGGTCCCAGCCGATAGGTCGAAACCTGATGTGACGGATGACCACAGAGCTCAGTGCAGTGTAACCTGTAACACCTCCAATGATAGATCTTACAGGACTGACCACGATCTCCTGAGAAAGCTGTGTTCAGAACCCTTCCACCGCGACCTACGGAATCGCTCGTCCTCTGAACTGATCATATCGCTCATCTGCAGCGATCTTTAGGCGCACCGCCGCCATGCAACCCCAGACAACGGGGTTGATACATTGCCAGGTTGTGCAAGCCCAGGCTGGGGTACTCGCAGAGAGTTGAGTTCAAACGTAGGTGCTCGCCGTTAGCTAGTTCGCACCACAACCAAATTCTTGTTGCACTAACAGACCCAGATAGCACAATTATGTGTATCGGGACACAGAGGGCGAAAGGTGGCACATGTTCGTGCACCGGACACGCTCTGCACCGATCACAGGGGCTGTCATGGACGCTCCTACTAAGGGTGACGAGCAAACTACCCATATAGGAATCAGTAGAAGAGCTGTGGACGAATACGGAGAAATCTGCTTCGAAACCGGTTTTTGTTATCATAACCAAAAGGCCCTGTATGACCGACAACACAAAAAGAAAATAGACCACCGGTGTCTGTTCAATACTGAGTTCGTTCTAGTCAGTACAGGGTCGGACGAAGAGCGATGTCCGGGAATGGGAAATCCGCAGCCTATGAGCGAGCATAACTCGTCCATTGACGAGGAGCTGTTCTATCTGGCGTACGTTTGCATCGCTAGTACGTTATTCCACTGAAGAACGCCTGTGACATCAGCCATCAAAAACATAACCCGCGGGAATACATGTCAGTTCTCGGCATCATCAAGCAACCTTACGGATAAAACTACCCGCAAAGCACACCAGGAACTGCATCCAATACAGTCAACATACTATCCCGAGACGACTGTCACCGGGGTGGGGACGTCCAAGAGACGAAGTAGTTGCTGAGGTTAACAACCGTCACTAGGCTGGCGCTTACCTTCAGTAGCAAACATGCGCTGCCGGCGGAAGGGACGCTGGCCTTAGTACACGTCACCGAGTGAATTTAGAGGGGCGGCGGTGATACCGGACGGAAATTGGCATTCATGAACATGGAACAGTGAGCAACGAACTGGTCTTACGGCTTGATGTTTGGCTTCCCTCCTCATAAACCCATCAGACGTCAACCGCCTACACTACCCGCGCTGTCAACGAAGTTAACCATCGCGATTCATCCGAATCAGGCCGAATTGAAAAAGCTCCATCACTAGGCACACAAGGACTTCTTTAAGAAGTTATCGTCCGCTACTGGGTGAAACGGTGGATAATGCTAATCCTACCAGGCTGGTCGTACGAGCAGTCGTACCATCTTCATTGTGCTAACTAATCTCCAACCCCAATCCATCACGATATAACAAACTACGAAGTCCGTTTCAATTCAAAATGATACAAAGCCGGTGTTCACGCCTTCCTTACAAGTTGCTCCTTTTATTACACTACTTTAGCTGCACTGCCCGACATGTCTAGGTGGGGAGAGCGGCGGACCTAAAGCTCGATTTTCGAAGCCCGTAAACCATGAACCCGACTCGCTTCGACAACGATCTTTCTCTCCACGAAGCACCAATTCGACCCACGTCTACCACACTACTTGTACAAGCGATTCGGATGACAAACCACGGGTCGAGGCTCTCGGTAACACTGACGACACTCCAATGAATGGCCTGTCTTCAAAAATTATAAATGTTAGTACAAAAATCTTTAAACGCGTATCAGACGGACATACGGCAAAAGGTCTCACTCGAAACAATTTCCAATCGGGTCTACAATAGCATGAATGATTTTGCGCAACGTTAGCTACAGTAAATGCAAAATGAGGCGCAAAAACGCTTTAGGTGTAGAACATTAAAACCGGGCGTGATATACAAGTCACTCAAGAAACAGATACAGATGGATTTGCCGTTTGACACATAGTCTGGATCGTCTCGACACGCTGTTCCAAGGGGTCTCAGAACAAACACTGGAGAATGCGAAGTTCAATGATTATATTGCGACTTTCTACACATCACCAACGCCTCCCTCTTCTTCATCGAGGTCCTGCTCATCATCTTCATCGTCATCATCTTCGTCGTTTTCTTGAATGAAACCAAACAATTGAAGAAACCAATTAAGAACCAGCCATCAGTAAACAGACATCAATCTACGAAACTTGGGCCCGACTTACCGTTCTCCTCATCCATGTCAGGGGACAAGTAGTACTGTAGAGGATTTGGCCATAAATCATCCTTGATAACTTCACCAAGCTCATCTCCGAATGCGGACGATTCATCTGTGAACCAACAGAAGAAGCTGTCTTGTGACTGGTCTTCAAAGGCACGTTTCTTCTGTTCTCCATTGTTTTTCTTCCCAGCCTTGGCAGTCAGATCTTTCCCAGGGTACCACTCAATCTTCGTGTACTTGGATGACGGTTCACCGGTGTCACCAAGATGGAATTCCTTCGTCAGAACAGGGTTCTTAAACCATTCATTCTTATCGAAGTGCTAAAGTATGGAGCGGTTAATTGGCACACAGAAACTTACGAAGTTGATTTGGAAACCAGACTTGATATCCTCGAATTCTTGAACCTCTACCTTCCTCAAGTACTTTAAAACAGCCTCATCAGTGGTGGTCAGGAGATCTGAGAGCTGAGGATGGTTGACAAACGCGGTCAGCCAAAAATTGGGGATCTTCGCTATCAGCTCCGACCTTTTCTCGAAATGCGGTTGCCGCATTTTGTTGAACTTTTGCTCAACTTTGAGGATTTCTTCGCTAGCTTGCTCGTTTAGGTTGTCAATCGCATTCTGAACCTCCTCAATCTCGTCAATAATGGCGTTAGTCGAAGCACCTAAACGGGCATGTACAGGTTTCCGTCAGCAACGCGGAACAATCAAAACAGGAGAGAACAGGAGAAAATACTGTAAGAGACTTACCCATATCTCCATCTGCGCCTGAATCATTGCTGGCTCGGGGAACCTTGGGTTGGGTCGCCATTGTGCTGAGAAGTACGCACACCCGGGAACAGGATATAAAAATGGCCTCTAGGGCGTTAAAACAAAAATAGTCCGTCAGTCTTACGTGTTGATCAGAACAGACTGGGCGTTTTCAAGCTTGGAGGGATCGCCAAAGAAGCAGGATCCGATTTGCTTGTCATAAAAACCTTAGCACACCCGGCGGGCAAGTTGAATATGAAATGGAAGCTAGTCATAATGAACCGACAGCAACTTCATGAACCTCTGTGGGCTGCATGGGGTAGCCTAAATCAGGTCGGGTGGGGACGGCTTTCTCATTAAGGAGCAACTTCAAATTCACTGGACTTCTGCCACCTTGAACTAAAGAACCGTAGATCCCAAAGGGTAATAATATGTCTAAAGGAATTTTCTCAGGGCGTTTTGCAGATGGGACAAGTGCACAGCTTCCTCGACAACTGACGTCTGCAATCCCCTATTTGATTGCTTTGCCCAGTTCATGTGTGCACGTGGAGAAAATATCTTCATCAGTGCACCAAGCTACTCCCCTCCTTTTTGCTCTTCAACACTATGTTCCTTTCCTTCTTCATTTGTCTCCAGCTCCAGTATTTGAAGTATATTCGTCTTCTTCCAGTTGCAATTTCGGTTTACATACCGCGTTTCTGTCACATTCCCTTGCAATTGCAACCCTTTTTCCAGTCTAATTTTCCCGTGTGGTTTTTCCCTGTCTACAGTATCCGAACGCATACGCACCGCTAGATTTCCTCATTACTCCTTTCAAATCTCTCAAGATGTAGCCCACCTAAACCATCGCAGTAAAATGCTCCTCAGAAAGCACCGCTCATGCCAAGGATGAGTATTCTGCCTACAGTATCCTACGGGACTTCAGCGAACACCTAACACTTATGATCGGAGTGGTCATTATTGCTGGGAAAGTGTTGCTCCGAGGAAACCGGTCCAGCTATTCGTTACATGGCGCGCTTTGCTTTCGCATTTCCGCAAGCACAACCGGCTACTAGTTTCCTGTTTCCGACGGACGCCTCGGTTGGCGCTAGTTTATTTTCAGAGGAAGACATCATTTGAGCCGTTGAATGCACCTCATACCCCGTTTAGATGTGAAGGACACACTCCTCGCCAGGCTTCCGAGGAGCTCCTGATGCCTCCATGGTCCCCTGAGGCACATCTGGTGACTCTGATACTGCATCATCTTTTAGGTTGACAATGAAATTCCCCACGTTCATTCTGTCCCATTTGTAACCCCCGCCCCACTTTTGTGTTTTGTGTGTATATATGAACTGACGTTTGTTTGTCCTTACCACCTCACCCACTTGGCCTTGAGGTCATCCGGCCACTTGTAGCCGAAGTTGCTCATGTGACGTCGCACGTGGGAGCCTGCTTGCCCCCTTGGTTTGTACTTTTGTAGTCCAAGTGGACCGTTTGTTTTGGACGCGTATCTACTGTCGAGGTTTGTATAATTTGTGAATTTGTCTAACTTTATTAGTACGGTATCGAAACCCAGCTCTTAGTACATTATAGAAACCCAGCTCCGACTTTGTTTTGCCTACTCGGAGATTCAGGTATTAGGCGACACTCGAAGATACCGTTCGCCCGGTACAGTACTCGACATCTTACGTCGTCTTGTTTGAAATAAGGATGTCAATTTTCGGAACTATTGTGAAAGAAACCAGATCCATGGACGTGGAAACGATTGAAGCTGCGGAGGGAACATCGCATTGCAGTTTGCTTCGCGCCCCGGCTCTTATAAGGAACTTTGTGCATCTAGTTGTAAAAGTAGTGTAGCCAAGACCGCTTTAAGGATTGCTCAGCTTCAGGAGTGCTGGGTTAAGCGAGAGGTTGAGCTCCAGTTGGCTCTCTTAGAGGCACATAGGAAAACCGAATTAGCCAGGATTGAGCTGGAGGCCGGAAAGGACCCACTAGATGAAGTCTGGGAACCAGTGGCCGCAAATGAACGATTAACGCGGTACGCTAAAGCATATCAGATAGAGAAAAGACCTCTAGGATATGTTGATGATATTTGAGAGCCATTTGCAGGGCCAAAACCGGCCATTTCCGTCACTCTGGTGTCAGCCACTATGGAACTACCGAAGGTGGAACTATCATACTTTGATGGTAATCCGTGTCATTACCGGAGTTTCACCCGCCAATTTGAGTTGTACATTGAGAGCAGGGTGCAAAACGCCGGTCAGAGGCTCCTTTATCTGATGCATTACTGTCAAGGCGAAGCGAAGGCGGCCATTGAAGTATGTGTGATGCTCCCGCCGGAAGTATCATACTCCAGAGCTCGGGAGATTCCATGCAATCTCTTTGGTCAGCCTCATTATCGCTCGATGTCTAATAGAAAGCCTGTTTCGGTTTGCACAACAGATCACTGGAGCAGCCAAGTCTTTGTCGGACTTGTGTATAAAAATGCGCTGGAGCAAATGTGTCACGTCTCAGACTTGCACTCACTAGCGGTTTTAGAGAGAAATGTGCGTTCTCTTCCCTCGCCATTGCAACATAAATGGGCTGAGGTGGCAGATCGGATATCTATGAGTGACCGGTACTCAACGTTCACAGACTTGTCGGAGTTTGTGAACACGCGCTCCCGAGCTGCAAGGAGTCGGTTTGGGCAACTGGCTCCATAGGGGGACGTGAGACGCCCTATTGCAACGCCAACTTCTACCAACCAAGCCCCTAGACGGGATGGTTTTACCAGTTTCCTAAATAACATCAGGCCAGGCGCAGACGGTCGTCTAGGTGCATGCGCATTATGTTCACCGCCTCACCCAATTTCCAGGTGCAAGCGCTTTCTGTCTATGAAAGTTCCTGACAGATGGAAATGCATACGGGAGCATAATGCATGCTTTGCCTGTTTGGGAGACTCCCACATGACCAGGGATTGCAAGCCAGTAGTTCGATCCGGCCAGCCATGTTGTAGGGGACGGCACCATAGGTTGTTAGATACATCACAACCCGGAAACAAAGCTTCAGCATCCTAAGAGGCGGAGGTGTGCCTTAACTCGAGTTAGTCGGCTTCCGGTACGCCTAGGAGTTGTCGCTATCAAGCTTGACAGTCCTGCAGGAAAGGTGACAACGTATGCAGTTTTAGGTGCTGGGTTCGGCATAATGTTAGTTAGGCGGGACATTTTGGTGAAAAAATGGGTCAGGCTGCTACCCACGTCTATGGCCATTGATACACTGGGTGGTTCCATGGGATGCACATCAGAAGCTAATGACATCAGGCTTTTATCAGTGGATGAAAGCCAGTCGACAGATATTGACAGGGCATTCGTCGTTGACAGCTTACCTATGCGAGCTGTCCCATCTATTAAAGAGGCGGCTCGCAAGTGGCCTCACCTTAAGGAAGTTTCCTCCGACGAACTGACTGAAGACGATGTGGGAATGCTTATTGGTTGTGACGTATCTGAAGCGCCCTGAATCTTCGACCAGCACCTGGGGGGTAAAAAAAGCCGTTTGCTGTTGGATAATTCGGTTGGATAATTCTTGGTCCGATGAAAAACGGGACGAAGCAGAAGGTCGTCCGTCGTTTTACAACGGGTTACAGCCAGGGCATCCAGGAGCATTTGCAGCGACTGAACAACTCGGAATTCGCAGACACTTCAGCATCGAACACTAGTCTCTCTTTAGAGGATCAAAGAGCACTGTTGATAGCGAAGACTGGTGCGGTGCCAGTAAGTGGGCACTATCAGCTGCCGGTCTCGTGGAAGGATAACGCACTTGCCCTACTCGATAACTTCCAGGTGGCTAGAAAACGTCTGGGTACTATGAAATCTAGGCTGTTCAAGGATCGTGTTATACACGGGAAGTACGATATGGAGAAAGGATACATTGAACGCGTGGCAGATACTACCACATTGTCATTAGATTCAAAGCAGTGGTATCTCCCAGATCATCCGGTTATTAACCCAAAAAAACATAAAAGATTCGGGTTGTATTTGACTGCTCTGCCAAATGTCATGGTGTTCCTGAACGATCACGTGTATCAGGGCCCTGATTTAACACCAAAACTTGTAAATGTTATGCTGGACTTTCGTTTAGAGCAAGTTGCTGTGGCAGCCGACATCGAAGAGATGTTCCGCGGTACGTTTGAAATCGTTTTCGTTTTTCCCTCGTGCAAATTCGTGAAAGACTTTTTTCGTTGTTCAATCTATTCACAGAGTACATACGAGTAATTTTTGAATTTTATTACTTTAACAAAACATTTGAGAGATAACCCCTTATATTTTGCGCACACTTCCAATTTTACATCTAGTCCGAAACATGGCATCAATTTATACCGATTGCCCTCTGCAGCCATTGATGGACCACAACAGATGTGGGCGAAATGGCTGCCCGTCGAACGTCAAACGCAGTATACAATGCCACACCGGCAAGGCCTGGTGGCATTTCAAATGCACGGGTATACAGGACGACCAGATAAGCCGACTGGCCAACTCTCCTGACCCGTTTGTCTGCGCCAGCTGCTCTGCGTCAGGGGTTTAATGAATACCGCAGCGAAGAAGAGAGTCCCACAAAACGGTAACCGATCCCAGGTGCAGATTCAGCAAGACCACTGTCAGTGTTCCGCCTTAATCGGGATACTCGACGCGAAATTAGGGCGTCTTTCTGTCAGGGCGCGCCCAGACAAAAGAAAAACTACATGTGCAGAGAGTGACGCATCCCCAAGGTCACCATTGGTTTGACACGTCCGGAAAGTAGGTGAGTTAACCTCGCCCGCGAAAAACGGCTCTCACCAAACGGCTTAGCACCGCACAACCAGCGTAGTGAGCCTGAGAATATTCACGACGGGACCACCCCCATTGGCTGTATGGAGCGAACGACCATATATGGCCATTTAGTCATCCTATATATTTACTTAGAGGCCCTGTATGTTTTGTCCTGGCAATACAACCATGTCCCCAGTTCTCTGTCTTCTCCCTATGGCGTAGTCTGGCAGGCTCAGTGCAGGCGTAACCCAATAGCTCGGCCACCGCGCGCATATACAACACTGGAGATGGGATAAACACCGCGCAATAATTCACATGACGAATGATCACATATCACGAACGAAGCTCATTATCAACCAAACGGCGGAGAAGATTTTGGTTGATTTCCATCAGTTTGTCAATTTCCGCTCTGAGATGCTTCACCTCACCCGGATCTGGTTCGTCTCCTACAATACCACTAGCCATTTCATAAAAATCCATGTAGATGCCGGCCCAGTGGTGAGATAAATCGTAGCGTTCGTTTGTGGAAGGGAGGCGAATTCGAACCAAGTCATCCAAATGTCATCCAAAATGGTGCTTAAGCGGTCCAATGAGACACAATGTTTTGTTTGGCGATCTTGATCTATCTTCCGTATTGAACTTTGATTGATCCGAACTAGTAGGTTGGCGGGGGCCTCCAAAGACGAGAGCCAATCTGGTCCTGATGCCATACACATGCCAGTCAACTGTTGAGGATTGGAAATTTCCCCCGCGATGGTCGGATTGAGCACAGAGAACTGCTGAAAGGTTGTAAGAAGAGAATTTGTACGCAGCACTTTGACCGTTCCGCCACGACAGCCTGCGATAAGCAAGTTATGATCATCCGGGGAGATGACGAGGGCGATGATAGTTTTCTGCGCAGGCTGCAACTTTGAACTGACGAAACATCGACGGACTTCCTTATTCGGTACTGGGCTGCACTTGGTGTGGTCCAAACTACATGTATACAGCAGACCTTCAGTTCCACCGGAGATGATTCTACCATCAATGGCTGGCAAGGGACACAGACTACGTGGTCCTCCAACAACGCTAGTCAATGCAACAGAGATGACAGTACCGTCCAGGGCATCCAGCAGCTTTAATCCTTCTGACCCAGCAACAAGCGGGTTTTGTTGCATGAATTCGATACAAGGTAATCTCTGGCTCACTTGGATGAGATACCATAAAGGAATATTTTTGGTATCTGGATTGGTAAAACTCAGACCATTATCTCCATCCGGTGAAGTCTCAATGTGGTCACCAAACCTGGCAGACGGGTGTTCACAATGGCAATTTCATTCGAACAGATGCAGTCTCTTCTCAGACAGCGGCAGCAACAGTTTGAGCTGGCGCAGTTGAAGCTCATCGAGACACTCACCGAAAAATCGTCACTACAGAAGCCGATTAACCAGACTACTGAGCGGTCAACTTCGTTGATCGACATGATGCTCAACGCGATCCCATCCCCTTCACCAGTGTTGTACTGTGCGGGTGGCCGAGCTATTGGGTTACGCCTGCACTGAGCTTGCCAGACTACGCCATAGGGAGAAGACAGAGAACTGGGGACATGGTTGTATTGCCAGGACAAAACATACAGAGACTCTACGTAAATATATAGGGTGACTAAACGGCCAAATATGGTCGTTCGCTCCATACAGCCAATGGGGGTGGTCCCGTCGTGAACATTCTCAGACCCACTACTACGAAACAGGCTTCCACCGGGCACCAATTCAGCCGACCCCAAACTCATGACCAAGCCGATTGTGGTCATACCCCCTGTGCTCCGAAAGCAGCCTGACGAATCCAGCAGCGTCTCCGGACAGCAGTTTTTATTCGACCATCACAGGCCTCTCGCCCACCAAAGGCAGGGACGCCCTGGAGGAGGCAAGCAGCGCCCAAACTATGTGGGGCTATCAACGCTTATCTCCGTATCAGAGGGCATAGCTTCAGCCGTGCACTCCTCAACAATGACACAGCCTCCGAACTGGACTGAGTCGGATGTGCGGGGACAAGAAGCAAAGCCAATCTCCAGCTCCACTCCGTCAAAAGCGGTATCTCTGCTTGTGGACACAACCGTCGCCCAGGGTCCCGACAACCAAAGCCACAAACATGACTACAGCCATCCGTGAAAACTGCTGGCTGGCTTCAAGGTGCAGTCCTCCGCGAAACCGAGCCCTTTGAGAGCGCCACCAAAATCATTACTTCTTGGTGCCACCACCCAGCGCTCAGGGCCTCACAGAGACACTTTTCCTGTCAAACCGCGCCAAAACACCCAAGGGTCCAGAAAGGCGAAAGCTTGCAGCAAACCTTTGGTCAACAGCAAATCTGGTCGACAAAAATGGGATGCCGAAAGAGCTACAAACAGCATCGGTCGAAAGTTTTGCCCATGGGGAAAAAACTCCGTCCCCCAAAGCCGAAAGGCCCGAGCAAATCGAGCTCCCACGGAACGAAAAAACCTCACTGGCGAAAAGCACCCTTAGAAACCACGAAGACAGGAAGCAGACAACATCGTCCCAGGGGCCGTCTTGGAGCCTTGGCCTCAGACCCAAACCCGGTGCACAACTCTTATGTCTGCTAACCACCCTGGTCACTCAGCTTTCGGCTCCTCACCCTCGGAGGCAGCAGTTACAGTGTTGAAATGCTTGTCCACAAACTGCCTCAGCCTTTTCAACAAAATCGGCGATGTTAAACAGTCAGCTTGCCTTGAACGACCGTCCATAATCGAACTCACAGTGACCTGGCTCAGATCAGATGTCTCTGCCGCGGAGATATCGATAGACGGTTACTCTATTTTTCGAGCTGACTCAAAACGAGCGAGGGCTGGTTGGGTTGCTCTGTACTTACATGAGGCCCTACCAATCCTATGTGTCCACTCTGACACCTCCCCTGCACCATTTTGTGATGCACTGTGGGTCCAAATACCGCTGCGCGGGTCTGATTCTCTCCTTCTCGGCATGTTCTCCCGTAGCCCTTCGAGTCCTCCTGAAGATGACCACTTCCTCATACAAACCCCTGAGCAACTCTCCTCCAACTACCACTTCACTCATTTCCTGCTGGCAGGTGACTTCAACGCTCCAAAGGCCTCCTGGTTTGAGCTCCAGAGCGTCGAGTAAGGCGGGCTTTTCTGTTTCAGCTGTTTGAAGTCTTTCAGCAGAGCGCTTAGACCATACATGTCGTTGCACCCACCAGATACCGCGCAGGCCAACTGCCATCCCTCCTGGATTTGGTCATCACCAACGAAAGACACTTCGTTGATCAGGTAACAATTAACGCTCCACTGAGACAAAGTGACCACTGTGTGCTGACCTTTGATTTCATCTGCTATTGGGCCAGAACTCCCAAACCTCAAACGTGGTTTCGAGACTTCTGCCGTGCAGACTTCTCAGGAATGCGCATCTTCCTTGAACAAGTCACGCTGGGACCAGCTCCGGTGGAAGAACTATATAGGACCATTATACAGAAAGTTCACGAGACCGAGGAGACGTTCGTCCCAAAAAAACTGGCACGCGCTCGGATGAACTGCAGGATGCGAAAAAGGAGTCCGCGACTTCTGGAAAAAAGATCTCAACTCTTTTTCAAAAAGTTGACCACAGGGGACACAGAAGATGAGCTGGCATTTCTTAAAATGCGGAACCGCTGTAAATCGAAAATCCGCCAATGGAATATACGAAAGCAAGCCACCATTCTGGACGTCGCTCGGAAAAATAAAAACGTACCGTTCAAGTACATGAGACATCGCCGCAGAAACAAGCCATCCGCGTTCTCCTTGAGGGACAGAAACGGAGAACCGCCAAATGACCCAACAGTGGTATCTCAGGTTTACAGAGAACACTATGCGTATCCATACTCAACGCCAGCGTCCTCGTCGCATCCACTCTTGTCAAGACGTAACTACGAACAGCCTCTAACCGACTTGGTGTCAACGGTGGGGGACATTTGTCAACTCTTGCACAAGATCAACCCATTCTGCACGTTGGGGCCCGACGAGGTCCATCCAAGGATCCTGAAAGAAACGTCCTCCGTGAGAAACATCCTTTGTAAGTCACTTGACGAAGGCCGCCTTTCCCTGCTTAGAAGGAAGCGATTGTCACGCCAATCTACAAAACTGGTGACCGACTATCGCCTGGCAGCTACAGGCCTATAAGCCTCACTAGCG